TGTGCTGCAGAGAAAGGAGAAGAGCCTGAGAGCTGGGACTGCAGCAAAGATTACAACACTCACCTTTCTGGGGTTAAGAGCTCGGTGCTCTCCTGATGTTTCACTCGTGGGGGCGCCGGCCTCGCGCTGCCAGGACGGGGAATCCGTCTGCAAGAACAGCAGGAATGGGAAAAATCACCTTCACAAGGGACACAGTGTGGCATTCACAGTCTCTGGAAAATCCCTTCACCCAGGATTGTTCTCCTGGGAAGCTGAGGAGCCTCAGAGAAAAGGAAAACAATTCTTATCCCATTTGCTTCTCCTGTGCTGTGCTCATGTGGAATGTGTTGGGAGATTGTTCACCCACAGGTGATTGTTCCACTGGGTTCTGCTGGGAGTGGTTTTGACTCCTAACCTGAGCAGGCAGCCAACCAGTAGAACACCCATTCATCATCACTGGCCAACCAGCCTCATTCACTTACTCAAAATTACCCTCATTTTTTCCCCCCTTGCAGCCGCCCTAAAAAATAAACTACTCAAACTCTAATTAAGTCTAATAGTTTATAAAAACATTGGTCTTGTAAGCCAAAGATTGAAGACTAAACCCCTTCTTAGAGTTATCCCACCATCCCATCTCAGGAAGAAAGGACTCAAACCCTCATCTCCACCTCCCAAAGCTGGCATTTTTAACTAAACTACTTCCTGACTATTCTCCTACACAGCCCAAATCACCCCCCGAGATAATCCCTGCACAATCCCCAGGCTGAGACTCTGGAAAAGAGACTCTGAAAGAGTCACAAGTTTTCATTATTGTCTTTTTAGCAGAGACTCTGGAAAGACTCACAAGTTTTCATTATCTTTTAGCATTCACTAAGTATCCTTTCTGTATAGTCTTTAGTACAGCATAGTTCAGTATAGTATTCTTTAATATAATATAGTATTACAGAGTAATAAATTAGCTTTCTGAGAACATGGACTCAAATTCATCATTCCTCCCCGCCACAGGGGTGCCTGCAAATACAATAACACAGCAACACAAGCCTTTGCTGAGCAAAAAAAAAAAAAAATAAATAAATTCAAACATTCAAATTGAAAAGCAAGTTCACCTGATCCATAACACTGTCCTTATGGAATGCACAGAGGAAATGCAATGTTCTCCTCAAAAATTTTGCTAAAAATTTTACTCCAAAATTTTACTAAAAATTTTATTGCATGGAGCAGTTTATGGGTTGAGAAGGGAAGAAAGGAGGGAAACACACCTTTGGGCAGGCCGAGGTGGGACATCAGGAGGTGCTTCACCATTTTCAGCCTTCTCAGGAGCTGTGTTCTCCATTTCTCTTTCTATTAAACAAAACACCATAAAAGTGGGGCTTAGCTGGGCCAGGAAAACCTCAGTTTTTTATGAAAGTATTTGGAATCTTGGCATTGCACTGAAAAAAAACCACATAAAATTCTTCATTTTTATAAGTATCTTAATATTGTGTAATTCCCCCCTCTGTGAAAATGACATCATCTCACTCAATGCTTTTGTTTCCCTTAACCTCTTGTCTTCCCCTGCTGGGATTCTTCGTTGAGGTGGTGGCTACTCCTTGAGTAAAGTCTACTCAAAGCATCTAAACTCAACCCAATTATGTTTAAAAAATCTATAATACATCACAAAAAGGGCAAAAAGCATTAGAGAAGAGCTTGACTTCTTAAAAAGCACTTTTTTTCCTGCTAAAAGTTTTCAACTATGTTTGATGCTACTCTTTTGTCACTGGAATGTTACTGAGTCTCTGGCAAATTAATCTGTAAATAACAAAGAGAATTATTTATTAAAAAAGTTCTACTTATTCTGCAATCTGATCAACACAACAGGAATTACATTCAGAACCTGAGAACTACTCCCAGGGCCAGGAAAATTGGGATACAGAGCCTCATTGCTCTGCAACAAAATATAAGTGAAACAGACAGAAATAATGCTCTAAAAGATCCAGGAAAATCAGTTTACTTCAGCTAATAAACAATGTTTTATAATCCTGGGCTCATGGAGTGGCTTGGATTTGGACCTTGGTCCTGAACCTAAAAAGTGAGGGGTTTACAGTGCCTTGGTGAACAAAACTGAAAAGATCACTCAATAAAATCAAGGTTGAGCTCAATGGTAAAGGTTGGACTTGATGATTTTCGAGATCTTTTCCAACCTTCATTATTCTTCTGATCCTGAATATTTGGTTCTTAAACCACCAGGGGATCCAATCCAAATCCATAATGAACCTGGGGGTTCTCTTACATCCTCTTACATCCATCCCAATTATACCATAAATTTCTTTTCCACCCCAGATGCATTCCAAAGGACAAGACAGCTCCAAGAGATGAAAGGGAATTTGCATGGAAGTTCTCCCAGCTGGGGAAGGTCACACAAATGTCTTGGCCATCCATCCATATTTCATTAGGCTGCCACAGCCATGAGGCCCTGGAGGCCAAAGGTGGGCTGGGAACACCTCCCACATCCATGGGATCCATCCTCCCAACCAGCTCAAGCATCTGCAGCTGGAGAGAACAAAAATGCAGCTTTTTGCTGCAATTTCAGCTCCTCCTCCTGCACTTTGCTTCCCTGGCTCTGTGTGTGTTGTGGCTGGATGCACATCCATGTCCTGGGAGCAATATCCAGCTTGGGGGGGAAATGGAGGAGTAAGAAAGAATACAGGGATGGAATTTTCCTCTGGAATCCTGTAAAACACAAATGCTGAGACTCCCAAATAGTTTCACAAAAAGGCAACGTGCAAAGATTCCCTTCTTACAGAGAACAAGTCACCAAGGGATTCAGGCGCAGCATTTGCCTCTTGGAAAACAAAAGAATAGGAGAAGGAAAATCAAAGTAATTGCTTTATCAGGGGATGGACATTTTTCATGAATCAGCTGTCATTAAAACACACAGCAGCTCTTGGATGAAGTGTAAATCACTCTCCTTACATCATTCAGCTGCATGGATTTGACCCAAACACTCCAGCTGGGCTTTCCATGGCAGCCACCCTTTAACTTTCCCTACCCTTCTGTTTTTCTGCAAGGTCTGGTTCAATTTTCTCCTGCAGCTCAGCAGCACCATCCTCTGAAATCCCATCTGCCACACTCCTCGTGTCCACAGCTCCTGTAACAAACCAGTTTATAGTCAAATGAAACCCAAGAGCCAATAAAAATTCAAAATAAAAAGCCATGCTAAATACCTGCTAGCACTTCTTTAAGGGCTACCCTAATTTAATAAACCCTCTTCAGTGTCAATAAATCACATTCAAGGTGCACAAAGGCTTTTTAAATGAGTGCTGACTGAATTCCTGAAAGCTGAACTATTCAGTATAAACCTCTACAATTTATCTGCCCACAGAGAAGAGACATCCCCTCCTGTTGTACATTCATTTATTACCAATTAACAGAAGATAAAATAGAAAGCTCTGATCATCATCACCAGTGTGCAATGTGCATCAGCACAGCTCCAGAAAGTTTTCCAACCTTCTGGATTATTCACCTCTGGCAAGCTCACTGTGCCAGAAAAGAAAGAGGGGTAATGCCCCAAAATATTCCTGGCTCTGATAAACTACAATTTGAATGCTGCATCAGGGAAAGAGGAGTGTTTTAAAATACTCACCCTAAAGTCATTCCCTGTATTAAACTTATCAGGAAAACTGGATTCTGGTGTTAAAGGGACAATCCCATAAAAACAGTGTGTCTGGTCCTTACAGTTTAGTGCCATATAAAATGAATATTGAAATGTTGGGAAATAAAAGAAGTTATAGGATCAGCTAAGGATCACTAAGTAGTAAAATAAGGCTGCAGTTTTAATGGAATCCAGACAGGGGTTTTTCAGCTGCCAAATTACTCAGAGTTCACAGCACAGGAGATGTGACATAAAAATTTCAATTTTCTAGCACCAACTTGAATGAGGCTCCTAAATGAACACACATACAGGGGGGTTTCCAATATATTTAAGGTGCCCAAACAAGGCAATTCATTATCCTGAAAGCAGGACTGATATAACTCCAGTATTTTGCCTCAGACACATGGAAACCTAAAACAGAAATCCAAAAAATAAGTGGGAACTTGGGAAGACATCCAGCAACACATGATCTCTTTATATAAATTATTAATAATGAGATTGGAAAATTAAGTGCATGAAGATTTTCATGCAGCAATGTTTAACCAGAAGTGGCTGTTATTAACAGGCATCAATTCACAGGTCTCACTGAATCTTCTGAAATGAGACATTAAAGAGATTTATTGTTTTATTCTTCTTTAGGATTTAAATACCAGGGGCACAATCACTGAAATACAAACAGAAATTGCAATTCCACGGCTGCTGGCTGAGCTCTGGGTACAAACCACTTTTGTGCCTTATCCAGGAGTTTCTCCAGGCTCTTCCTCTTGCCTTCCTACACAAAGGGATGGCAGGGCTAAGCTAAGATTCCTTTCCTCCTGATGTGAAATATTTGGAACATTCTGAAGATAATCCACTTCCAGTCAGTGTGTAAACACAACATTTAAAGGCTGAACTACAAAAATTGGTGACACAATGCCCAAGCCCACCAGAACCCAGGCTCTGAACACCCTGGTAGCCACAACAGGGGTGGGGAACAGCTGGGGACTGGAGTGTGACAAGAAGGAAGGAGGAAGCTCTTTTGTCTCGAGGTTCCACAGGGAAAGTTCACTCCAGGTGAAGAGGGAAAGGCAGAAAAGTCCCAAACACCTCGGTGCAAGAGTTTAAATACAGCTACAAACCAGGGGATGAATACAGAAAACAACCAATAGGGGGATTTCAAGGGTGGAGCTAAGGGATTATATCAACACTGTGGGACCAATCAGGGTAGGGGCAGGAGAGGGAAATATGGCCAGTGGGGCATCGTGGATTAGGGGATTTGCAAGTGGG